AAGAGAAGATTCTAAAAGAGTAACAGTTGAGAGACATTCACTGAAGCTTCCAACTCTTTTGAGACCTCAAAGGCTTCTGATGGTACTGCAGAATGCAAAACCCAGGAATATGGATCTGGGGGAGCTGGCCACACACATTCAGGATGTTACAAAAAAAAAAGGTCTTACAAGTTGTTTACACAAGTTGTCTTCAGTGGCCAGTTTGGGACCTTAGCCTTACAACCTCTCTTCAAACAAAAACCAAGACAAAGTAACCTTTTAAAGTCACAGCATCATCTTCATATGGTTATATGGCTGGTTCCAGTAACTCTTCTCGTCACTGATAATGCCCTTTCTAGATGTTGATAGTGACGTATTTGGCAATATTGATGCTGGTTGAATGTTAAGGGGAAATAGTGAGATTCTTTCTTGTTGAAGATGATCATTACCTGGCACTTCTGTAGCCTGAATGTTCTCAATGTCTTTCTGTCTATGGACAATCAGTGCTTGAGTATCTGTGGAGTTGTGAATGGTATTGAATGCTGTGCAGTTACTTGTGAACATTCCCAATTATGTTGAGAAACAAGGGAAGGTCATTGATGAAGCACCTGAAGGTAGTTGGGCTTACAACAAAACTCTGTGCCTCAAGAGCCCAGTTTTTCAATGGTAATGCCCTACCTTTGAGCTCGGAGGTCTGAGTTTAAGTCCCAACTCTGCCAGAGATGTCAAGCATGTCTAAACAGGTGGCTGAAACATATCAACCCTGATAACCTCCTGAGTCTGAAATGGTTTACAGTCTTCCTTTGCACTGTGTATGCCTCCAAGCAATTTGAACAGTTTCCTTTGATTCCCCTTTTCTGCTTGGGTAGCTCGATGCCACACTCGGTCAAATGCAGCCTTATTGTCAAGGGCACTCAATATCATCTTACCTTGTGGATTGACACTTACAATGGCCAATTCTCACTTACTGGTAACACGTAGCAGAAATTTGGGCATGTGGTATACCCAATTCTTCAATCATTACTTTTAAATGCTCAGTGAAGCATGCTTTTGGAATACCCTATGTACTCCTTGAGAGCACAAAGGCAAAACAATTGCCCCTTTATGACTGATTTTCAATCATACATCTAACAGGGAACCAATAGCTTTAATTTAACTGCTTTTTTTTTGCTCCTATACCTTCCCCATTTCCTCTTATTTTTCCTCAAGTTTATTTCTGTTTGATATAATCTTTTTTGTTATGCCAGCAATCAGGTCACTCCTGCTGCTGAGCTAATTTTAATACATGTCAGATTCGGGCTCTAGGGGCTTACTGCTGTATACTTCCCTACAGGATGGACTATGTGATTTTGTTTTGTTGTCTCCAGTAATCAGTCACCATATTCTCAATCCCTCATGCTTAAACTCCTGTTCAGTGTTTGCGCATTGCACTCAGCTGCATTGGCCAGCAGACTGGGGAGGCAAGTGAAGGTTCTGTTTTGATCTGCAACATTGTTGTAATCATTTCTGTTGTTTAGCCCTCGGCAGTGGTGTTAGCAATGTAATCAGTGAATGTAAGCAGTGTTCTCCAAGTCTGGTCTCTTCAGAATTCCAATAAGAAGTGAATGGAGTGTAAATAATAAGAAAATTGAGATCTAGGTGCAATCTTGCATTGTCAATCAGTAGTGAACACACATCAGTAAATTTAATAGGAACCTCAACTTCAGGGGTCATTCATGTGATATATTTTCCAGTCTGATTTTTATTGTGAGAAGGGATATGATGTTCTTTCTGAAATTAATTCCAAGCTTGGCTTCAAACTGATGTTCACACCTGGATCTGCTGACTTCAGACAAGGTGACAATTGATTTAAGACACTGCATGGCAGTCAATAATAGAAGAAGAACTGGTCTGCATCATGGATAATGAGTGAAACAGAACTCTTCCAGAATGATGGAAATATTCAGCAATATTCAGTTTCATTTCATCTGGAGCTCAATTTTCTGCTTCAGGTGTCCACCTGGCCACTGACTATTGCTAGAATTAGGGGCTGGTACCTCTGTTCTGACTTCCTACCTGGGACTGAAAAGAAATAGCCGTGATCCTGTTGAAGGCAAAAAAATACATTCTATAAAGAGGAGGGCTGTGCAAGGCCCATTACATTGCCTTATAGCATGAAGCGTTTTAATGGGAATGTGGAGGCTGTAGATATCCATGTTCTAATTTGTGAGAAAATCAGCCTCCATGGATTGTATTGTCTGAGAGCTGGTGGTTGTTGCCCTGGTTCAGTAGTAAACCATCTTTGAGTTATGCTTTGTGGTTGTCAAGATTGTTTCAAGTGTACAACTCAGCAGTGTGTTCAATGCAAGGACTTTATTGAAGTGATGCTTAAGATGTGTGCCTCATAGTAGAATTCACTTGACTATGGCAAACTTGAAATGATGTTTTGTAGATGATTGCATTTCAAATCCGTTTATACAAAGGCCATTATCACATGCATGTTTACTTACCCAGGTTACCAACTGTATACTGTTCTCATGACTCAGCAGTTCATTAGTTCTGTCAGCCTTTGCGTATGCATTTCACACACAGTCCTTAATTTGTGCTGGTACGATATGCAGTTAATGGTATGCTTATGTTTTGTTGTCTTTGGCTGTTTATTTCATTTGGTCTGTTTCTGTTGTTGGGTTGCCACATACCTCAGGGTTGAATGGTTGATTTGATCGGTGTTGAGCAGTTTCCTTTGATTCCCCTTTTCTACTCTGGTTGCTTGATGTCACACTCGGTCAAATGCAGCCTTCTTCTTGATCAGCTGTCTGAGGCTGAACAGCAGCTTCTCCAGTTGGGAGCATGTGCCTGTGGTTGTCATGGTGTATCTGGTCATTTCATTTGCATTGCCTTGGATCAAGGAGACAATGGTGCTCCACACAGGTCCCAAGTTGCTGCTCAAGCTGGCTTTTTCTGACGTTGGTGAATGTTTTTACTCTGACTGATTCTCCAGTGCTCAAATCTAGCAATGGCAACTCTCATGGTCTTGTTGCAGTTAAGTTTGGCTCCTTGCCATTTCACATGGATTTTTATTCACTCAGATCTTTTACTACGTCTGGCTTCAGTACCTTTATATTGATTGGAAGAGTAGTTTGTAAGGGGTATGAGAAGAGTCTTTGTACCGTTTATGTATGTTTCTCCACTCAAATCTTACTTTATATACTGCTGCGTGGGATTTACTTGATTTCTTTCTGATACTTTTAGTGATTTTCATTGCTGCCTCAGCCTTTCCATTTGACTGGAGATAGAGTGGAGATGATGTGTGGTGTTGAATTTCTCAATCATGCATGAAGCAACTGAATTTTTCACTCGTGAACTGAGATCCATTGTTGATCATGATAGTGACCTCGTCTGCATCATAAAGTCAGAGGTGGTAATGTTTGCTGATGATTGCACAATGTTCAACACCATTCGTGAATCCTCAGATATTGAAGCAGTCCGCGTTCAAATGTAACAAGATCTGGAGAATATCCAGGCTTGAGCTGACATGGTGAGAATTTGTGCCACACAACTACCAGGCAATGATTCCAGCAAGAGACAATCTAATCATCACTCCTTGACATTCAATGGTATTACAATCATTGAATCCCTCACTGTGAACATCCTGGTGGGTTAACATTGATCAGAAACTCAGCTGCACTGACTACATAAACACAGTGGTTAATAGAACATGTCACAGGCTAGGAATACTGTACCAAGTAACTCAGCTTTTGACTCCCCAAAGCCTGTCCAGCATCTACAAGGCACAAGTCAGGAGTGTGATGGAATAGACGCCACTTACTTGGATGGGTGTAGCTCCAGTAACACTCAAGAAGCTCAACACTATTTTCCTGGATGACATGCTAACCCTGTATCACAACTCCATACTCCTTTAGGATCTGTTTCATGGTCAATGGATTAGTGTGTGGTGATATATGCCAAATCTCTAGAGTCATAGAGTCATACAGCACAGAAACAGATCCTTCGGTCCATCTAGTCCATGCTGACCATAATCCCAAACAAGTCCCACTTGCCTGCACTTGGCCCATGTTCCTCAAAACACTTATTGTTGATGTATTTTTCTAAATGTCTTGGATGTGTACACGCATCCACCACTTCCTCTGGAAGTTCATTCCACAGGCAAATGACTCTGTGTGAAAAAAATTGCCCCCATGTATTTTTTAAATCTTTTTCCTCTCAACTTAAAAATGTGCCCCCTAAAATCTAGACAATTTGACAGTTATCAGGCCAAACTTTGGACCTGCTCCAGCTGAGATAAATAACATTTGCCATCCATGATTCTGGAGAGCCAGATCCGCATCTGTTATTGGAATGGGCTCAATATGGTGTCCTCGTGTCATCTTAATCTTACTTTAGAGGGATTCATGTTTTAAATGGCCATGTTTAGCCACTTTGCATAGGTCTGTGAAGGTCATGATGCTGCATGACACCTCAGTGTCTATCAGATATTCTATGCTGACTTAATGTTCTCATTCTATAGTCTTCATTTCAACCATCACAAACCATGTCTCATCTATGAAGCTGACTGAACCAACCTGTTATGTGGTGTAGGATGATTCATCAGAATCTTCAATCACTGTCTCTCCAGTAGCCAAATGTACTTGTTGCTGTCGAAATAATTCAGCTTCTTGCAGTGAGAACACTGGTTTCCCCAGGCTGGACAGCCACTTTCAATTTTGCATAATGTCCTCTGCAGTATTTACATCCTAGCCTTTGTAATTCTTCTGCAGTCCATGCTCTTCATAGAGAGATTTAGAATGAGGTATATTTTGAAACAGTCTCTTATCAGCAATGATAAAAGTGGAACAACTTGTAATGGTTCTGGTTTGTTCAACAAATCCATTGCTATTGCACAATCCTGCATTTGTTCATGGAAGAATTCCCAATTTTGCCTCATATCCCCAGTCATTTAAAGAGGAGCTGGTAGGGGCAAGGCTGCAAGCAGTTTGTGATGAGTAGTGTTTTCACTGCGATCTTCATATTTTCCTTTACAGCGGCAGCTCACAGCTCTTTGTCTGTGCCTTTTTTTTCACCCAGCTCTGCACAGTCTCCACTTCTGACACCATGTTTCAACTGAATTGGACAGCAGTGTGTTCAAAACATGGACTTTATTGAAGTGCAGGTAAAGATATCTGTCAACAGGCTGTGTGCCTCTGTGGTGGACGTCATGTGACTAGGCAGACTAGAAAAGACATGATTGCATTTCGATTCAAACAAAGACTGACTGGCATGAGAATCGAGTGCTGAGCAGTAAACTGATTATCTATCCTGTTGCACAAAATAAATCTCTCAACATTAACCTGGGCAGATTAGGTATAAATCTTACTCTGTACTTTATCTGACAAAGGGCAAGAGCTCATCTCTGGTAAACTCATTGAGATGAATCTGACATATTTTTGATTAAGTCCAAGTTGTATTGAGATTTTTGGTTGGGATTTTCATCACAAGGCCCAGTGATATTTTCTTTTCACTGTATCTTGCCAACCTACCTCATTAATTATCTGCTCTGTCCCTGTAGTATGACTGTATATGGCTCTGGAGCCATCTTACTATGAGCGGTCCCCACAGCAACTTGCCACTCAGTGGATATCCCAGAATTCATAGCATCCCTTAAACCTGTGCTATCTTTAAAAGGGCGCTGTGTACCCAAGCAAGCACTGTCAGGCCAGAATTGCACTGCACAGCTCCTGACATGTGCCTCAGAGATGGCAAACAGGGGCAAATTGGCACCTCGCTACATGGGCGTGGACCTTGAGGTCCAGCTGGATGCAATGCTGAGAAGGGGAAACGTGCGCTTCTCCCCTCAGCTCCCCCCAGCTGTACCAAGAGGGGAGGCGCATGACACCAGACCCACTCCAGCCACTGCAGAGGTTGCTGCCCAGATTAAATCAGTCACAGTCTAGAGCAATGCCTGGCAATGTAGGAAGTAAATACTAGCGTAAGTACCACCATCTTCTCTTTGATACCTCACCCTGACTCCCTCTCTGTTACTGCACCCACCTCCAACCAAGGCTTTACCACTCTCTCACTATTGCCTGCAACATCATACTTCACCCACCAAATGCCACCAACACAGAAACAAAATAAAAACAAAACAAAACTCTGGATGCTGAAAATCTGAAACTACTTTGGTTCTGAACAAGGGTCCCTGGGCTTGAAATATTAACCCTCTTTTCTCTCCACAGATGCTGTCAGGCCTACTGAGTTTCTCCAGTAATTTCTGCTTTTGTCCTGAGCAGCACCAACCCTGCGTGCCGTCTGCGTTGCCTACTCACTTGTTTGGCACACTTCCTCACCTGCATCAACAGGTACAGCTGTGCCACCCGCTTTCATCCCTTTGTAATACCTGTGCTTCTTTCATTCTGGTGGGGAGAGGGACAAGCAGCTTACAACAGGACAGAGAGATTCAAACAGGGGCTGGGCCGTCTGACGTTCAGTTCCTCATTCCCAACGTGGAGAACATCCTGTCTTGAACTGCTGTGGGTGACTAACACACAGTTTCCAAGCCCTCAGAGCGGTCTCAGGCTACGGTTGACATGTTGTGCTGGGACCCTTTGAGCAAAGGCCATTCCGCTTGATTGACTGAGCCTTGCTGACAGCTATAACGACTTTCCTTCCTTTGTGTTTGCACTAAACTGCAAAGCAAGACAGGAGTAATAGGATCAGAGATAGTAGGAACTGCAGATACTGGTGAATCCGAGACAACAAGGTGCAGGCCAAGCAGCATCATAGGAGCAGAAAGCCTTTCTGCTCCTATGATGCTGCTTGGCCTGCTGTGTTCATCCAGCCCAGCACCTTGTTGTCTCAGAAGTAATAGGAGTCTGGTATGTCTGGTTGAAGGCCAAAGGGCAAATAAGCAAGCAATATAAGGCAGAGATGCTGTGAGCATCCAGTTGGGTTCACACTGAGCGGGTGCTATGACAGTGAGCAAAAAGCCTGGAGACACAGCCTGGTCCAGTCCATGAGCTGGGTGTGAATTAGAATTTGATTTTATCATCACTGATCAAGGATATAGGAGTGCAGGGAAATGTTTACAATGTCACCATTCTCAGCGCCATCTTAGATACAAGGGTACTTAGTTGCAAAAACTTAGGTACAACGTAGAAGTATTAGGAGATATAGTTAAAAGCTCAACATTGTGGTCCTTCTTAAGTGCTTAGCCATGCTGGGCTCAATCTCCCCCCAGGGGTTGAATCTTCTCCATGCTGGGCTTGCACTCCCCACAAGGGTTCAATCTTCTCCATGCTGGGCTCCAGCTCCCCACAAGCGTTCGATCTTCTCCATGCTGGGCTTGCACTCCCCACAAGGGTTCGATCTTCTCCATGCTGTGCTCGATCTCCCCCACACTTGATAACCACCGCAGATGTTGGGGGATCTCGGGCTGCCTGCTGTTACCACCACCCCTGCCCCCTCCCCCGCACCCATCCCCCCACCCTCTCTGCCCTGGGCTCAATCTCTCGCTCTCCCCCACGGTCTCTTGCTTTTCCCTGCACTGGGCTCGATCTCCACCACACTGCACCAAAGTCGACTCCCTTCACTGTCGCCCGCCAGGAAGAAACCTTGCCTGAGACACATTGGAAACCTTGAGACTGCTGATCTCTCCACAGAAGGTAAGTAGGTTAAAGTAAGGAAAAAAAAGCTGTGAAAGTAGAAAAAGTAAATGTGGATGGAGCAGATGCACAAGCTGCGCTGTTACTCCACCGCCATCTTGGTTCCTTACCCCTGACTACAGTGTCCTTGCTGCAGTGTTAAGGGATGGCTGTCTATACAGCCTGAGTGCAGAATTGAAATGGTGAATATCCTGTACATGGATTGGAGATATGCCATGAGAGTGGGCTGGCACATATCAAATGCCAATGTTTGAAAAGGTGGTGTGTGTGTGTGTTTGTGTGTGTGTGGGTGTGTGTGTGTGTGTGTGTGTGGCACTGGTGCCCATGAAGCCAAAAGGTGTTGGTGCCCAATCTCCAACATGGAGAACATTCGAAGCAAGCAGTGAGCTGAGTATGCTTTGGTTTCCGCATCAGGTTTTCCCAATGTTGAGCTTGTTTGGCAAGATAGAAAGCTGAATATTAAGGAGGTGAGTTGTGCCATCAACCAGTTGCAATATTCTGTCTTAGATGGCAACTTGCCACTGCCTGCAAGAAGCTCACTATGCTGCTTGTGAGAAGCTATAAAAGATGGTGTGGGTTGCTCAAGATGGGCACTGCCACACAATCCTGCCACAAGCCTCACCATAGCCCATGCTGCTCAGACCCTTATAAGATTCTACCCATTGAATTTGCATAGTCTTGTTGTTATAGCTGGGAAATATTGTTTGCCTGAAAAGAATAGATAAGTCAGTGGAGATGTCATCATAAATATAGACCAAATAGAGATAGGTTTACTGGTGGTTCTGAGGAAGGGTCACTGGACCTGAAACGTTAACTCTGTTTTCTACTTCACAGATGCTGCCAGACCTACTGAGCTCTCCCAGCAACTTTGTTTTTGTTCCTGATTTACAGCATCCACAGTTCTTTTGGTTTTTACTGGTGGTTTTAATGGGTTTTAATTCTGTACGGAGAGAATGCTATATCGTCAAGAGTGCCAACATTCACATTTAATCAGAAGGTAAGGTCGTCTCTAACAGTTCAGGTCAATGTGAAACATTCCATGGAAATAATCAAAAGGCAGTAATCCCAGTGCTCAACCAAAATCCTTCTGTACCAGTTATTAAAGCATTCAGTCATCCCACAGTGCTCTACAAATACCAGTTTGTTCTTCTTCTTTCTGTGTAATTAATGAATGTTTGAAGACAGATGCTGTGAAAACCTGTTTAAGGAACAAACTGAACACTTTGTATATCTGACAGCATAATGTATGGTGCAAGTTATGGAAAGGAAGCTGTTCTTTTCCAGTAAAGCATGGTTTGATGTGAATTATAAGTAATGGTATGTTAGCAATTGCAAAGTGGTTTACCTAAGTTGCAGATATTTCCCTAAATGTATGCAAATTGTTTCACGTTGGGCTTGCCATCTTTCTTGTTACATGCCAAGATAATCCTCAGTGCCAACCCAATGACAGGGACAGATAGGGCTTCGTTCTGAAAGAAAGAACAGTTTGTGTGGCAAGTGTGTGTGCGCAGTGGGATATAGACATATTCCTCTGTGAGGGGCTTTGTGAATTCTGTGGAGTCCATGCTGTGTTCCCCTGCTTTCTATGCCATCCAATAAGTAAACATTTCTGTTGTACTTTCTGGAGACTGTCTAGCAACTTGCTGCTGGGCGTAGCATACTACAAGTTATATGTGAGTTAGAAAGGCATTTCAACTCCATTGAAACTGAGGACAGGCAGCAATCAGAGGATTTTAGTAAGGATCAGTAGAAGGCAGGACTGATGCAACTGAGTCTGAAGAGGATTAAAAGTTTCTGCAGTAACCTTGCGCCGATAGGGAATTGAGAGTCCTGTAGGTAACAAATGCTTCCTGTATTGCCACAGATGACTCTCTCATTTCCAAACTCTGCACTAGACACAGCAATGATGGTTACCTTAAAATGAGAGCGGAGACCTGGTCTTCTGAATATTTACAGCCCTATAGAAATCCCCACTTTCCTTAACAGCCTGTGAGGAATGCTGTTTCAGTGAAAGCTGTTTCAGAAGATTCGTGATAGTTGACATGAGATGCCAGTGTCGATCAACTGACTTACAAAATTCTCTGACAGGACATTGTGCGTCAGCAAGGAGCTGAGAGTTATAAGCAATCAAAAATCGTGAAGTGAACCCAAAACTGAAAATCAGGGCCAACTGTTTTGGAAAGTACATGCTAGATTTATCTTCCTGTGTAAGCAGTCCTGTGGTAACCCCTCCAACTAATAAATGAATGAGCTTGACAGCAGAATGCTTGTGTAATACTTGTCGGAATTAAAATTAGGCAAGTATATGGGACCTTCTATCATAGGTCATGTTGCATTGTTTCAGGAATGCACAGCTTGCCATGTAACTCTGTTCATTGTAGAATGAACCTTTTTTAAATTTTGAAATTAAAATTGAATCAGTATTGGCAATGAATTGTGTCCTTTGGCCGTGGGATTTTGTGGTTCCTGTTGTATGACAGCTTTGCTCACCATTCTTGATTGTGAATAGGTGCCAATCTCAAACCATCTCCCTGCAGTTTGTTTGCACATTTCACTGTTGAGCATAGTGTACAGCAAAAGCATGCTTTCTATATGGCCTGGCTTCAATAGATTGAAACTGTCTGGGCTAAAACTAATCAACGAGTTACTGCTCAGAACAAAACAGAGCTCAAAATGACTAAAGTGAATATGTGTTCTGTTCTGTGTTGCACTAACCTAACTTCTGACAGTAATATATCTTTAAGTGAGGTTAATTTGGTAAAAATCAGTTTGTAATTTCTATGAGAAGCTTATGTATTGCATTCTCAAAAAATTGGTCAACTCTTGCTCTTTTGTGTACCACTGCATGTGTTGATAAGCAAATATCATAGGTGAGGAGTATTATTCAGCAACATTTAATTTAGCAAGATGGAACCTAGCTTGGATTTGTTCAATTTTCTGGCCCAGAACACTTCAAACTGAATATCATCTGCATTCCAAGTCTTTAAATTGATGGAAGCTGAGTGAAGACCAGACCAAAACTGTAAGTGTGCATAACAAAGGCTGATTTCAGGAAGAGAAATTTCTTCTGGTCCACGGAATGTGAACTGGGGCAGTTCCTCTTTTGCCAAACTGAAATGGTCACCTTCCATACCTATCACATTTTTATCATGCAGAGATGTGTGTCGATAAATTTCAGGTTGACTACTTAAGGCAGTGTGGGCTGGTTAGGAGGTCTGTCTCAGTTCGCCAGAATATGTTCCCAACTCTCAACATTATTCTTGTGCTCCCAAACCCTCACTTTTTTTCTCCTACCCTACCCCCTTTTCATATCTACTCCAACTCCATGCCCATTCATGTTGATATCCCTCCTCCATGCCCCCTCCATTCCCCCATCCGTCCCCTATTCAGCCACTCACCCAATATCTTCATTGGGAATACCTCGGGAGCCCATGTGATTGTAGTGAATGTGTTTAACATGCATGTGAAAACAAATTAAACCTCTACTAATCAAATACACAACCATTTTTGTTGAAAAAAATAACTGTCAATCAAAGTGTATACCCAGCCGTCAGCTGAGTTAAGTGCTTTGGGACTTTTAAAACATAGCCAAGCATTCACAGTATATTCAATTGCTAAAATAAAGAATTGCAGTTTCATGGAATGGATCCTCTTGAAATTTCATGAACAGACGGCTAGGTTTTTCCAAAGTTATACCAGATGGCTTGGTATTCAAAGACTTGCAGGACCAAATTACTTTATTTTCTCTGTTAAGTCTGTAAACTTACATAGAACATAGAACATAGAACAGTACAGCACAGTACAGGCCCTTTGGCCCACAATGTTATGCCGAACTTTTACCTTAAACCTAAGGTCTATCTAACCTCCACCACTACCTTATACTATCATCCATATGCCTATCTGATAGCCGCTTAAATGCCCCTAATGAGGCCGACTCCACTACCCTCTCTGGCAACGCATTCCATGCCCCGACCACTCTCTGGGTAAAGAACCTACCTCTGACGTCTCCCCGGTATCTACCTCCTTTCACTTTAAAACTATGTCCTCTTGTAAAAGCTACCTCCACCCTAGGAAAAAGTCTCTGGCTGTCTACTCTATCAATACCTCTGATCATTTTGTACACCTCTATCAAGTCACCTCTCATCCTTCATCGTTCTAAAGAGAAAGGCCCTAGCTCTCTCAAACTTTCCTCATAAGACCTTCCCTCCATTCCAGGCAACATCCTGGTAAATCTCCTCTGCACCTTTTCTAACACTTCCACATCTTTCCTGTAATGAGGTGACCAGAACTGGACACAATACTCCAGATGTGGCTGAACCAGGCTTTTGTATAGATGGAGCATAATTTCACAGCTCTTAAACTCAATCCCTCTATTAATGAAAGCTAACACACCATACGCCTTCTTAACAACTCTATTCACCTGGGTGGCAGCTTTCAGGGAACTGTGAACATGAATCCCAAGATCCCTCTGCTCCTCCACACTGCCAAGAATCTTTCCGTTAACCCTGTATTCTGCTTTCAAGTTTGTCCTTCCAAAGTGAATCACCTCACAGTTTTCAGGGTTAAACTCCATCTGCCACTTCTCAGCCCTGCTCTGCATTCTATCAATGTCCCTTTGTAACCGAGAACAGCCCTCTGCACTGTCCACAATGTGACCCACCTTCGTATCGTCTGCGAACTTGCTAATCCACCCTTCCACTCCTTCATCCAAATCATTTACAAAAATCGCAAATAGAAGAGGACCCAGAACAGATCCTTGTGGTACACCACTCGTAACTGAGCACCATGTTGAATATAAACTTCTTTGTTTTGAAGTTAAATCTCTGTGGCCATTTAAATTGCTTCATATCATGACAATGGAGTTCCCAAGTATTGTTTTCATCAGTTTTAAATGCATAAATTATCCAGACATTCAGCACTTAACTGTAAGAATGTTCCCAACTCCTCAGACTTTTGCTTAAAGTCCGGACCACTCTTACCCTTTTACCTGACAGATTTTCCAAGAATTCAGAAGAAGCATCTATTTCGAGAAACATGGTTTCTAAAATTTACTTGAGAAAAGTACGGTGGGGCACAAGTTGACCTAACAAATCTGGCCCCATTTGCCCAATAATAACGGCCTTGATGTCATAGGCCATGCATGTGTAGTCGTAACCTGAAACGTTTCCCACATATGGGAGGTTAGTGTGGCCTCAAATCTTGCCATATTCCCCAGCCAATTCCTGCTTTTGTTGCATGTGAAAATCTGGTGCCAAGGTTTTGCTACAGCACTGGTCTTGCAAAGTGCCATTTTATGTGACCATATCCTGACATGCTATTCTCCCTCATCCCTTCTGAGCTATCTGAAGCACTCAGCTCCCCTTTAATTTGTCACACTGCTCATCCAACATTCGGTATTGGATGAGTAACAATTTCCTCTAAATATATGGAAAATCATTCCCTTTGGTTAGTACCACAAATCTCATCTTTACATTACCCTGAGCTGATCTTTTACCCTCATATCCATTCTATTAAGACCACCCACTCCCTCCTATAAAACAGCCCATGACTTATTGTGCCTCAGCTCATCTGTGAAGTCCATATTTGATCTAATATTGAACTTTGGAACTTATTTATTTATTTTTCTACTTCTATAACAAAGATTTTGTACCGAGGTATTTTGTATCTAAGATGGAACCGTGTGTGGCAACGTTGTACACTTTTCACTGTACCCTTGTACCCTGTACTTGAGTACATGTGCTAATAAAACCCAAATCTAAATCCAATATTCTTGGATTGCTAGAAGACCTTTGAAAAGGTACTGCATGGGAGACTCGTGACTAAGGTCAGTGGATGTACAAAGGAATTAGATCCAGGGGAATTGTATTGAAAAACAAAAAAAATGTTCAACACGTAGGCAACCTTGGCTAGACTAACTTGGAATAATTGGCCTATGTTTCATGGAAAGGGTATAGAGGTACTGTAGAAGGTACAAAGAAAAGATTGTCCCTGAACTGGGGATTTAGAATTACTCACAAAGATTGAGGTGTGTACTCTTGGAAAGAGAAAGTTGATTGGTGACCTAATAAAAATAATTAAATTTGTGAAGGAGTTCCATATATATCTTTGATGTTTCTCT